TTCGGCCCAGTGAACCCACCGAGGAATCAAAGAGAATACTAGAGATGTGTTTAATAATTTATTTGCATATGATTATCGTAAAAATACTGAAAGAGATATGCTTATTTTTGTTCTAGTTTTCTCACATTTTTTTTTTACAGTCTAGCACACCTTTAACTGCACAGGAAAAGTCTGCCCTAACAGACACATTTTCTTCTTTCACGGCGAGAATTGGTATAGTTTCAGATATGGAATGATTAAGAATGTCCCGATGCGATCCCAGTCCAGTTGCTTTCTGCTTCCCAAAGAAATCTCAGCTCCCAGTTTCCCAGCTTCGTTTTGTCCCTTTGTCTTTGTCTCAGCTCTACTCCTGTGTTTTGTAAAGTATTACAAACAATAACAGATTTTCCTCATATAAATCAAAATAACGGACACACATATTTAACTTTGATGATGTTACAAACCTAGATCTTAGCTGATATGCTAGGGATTATTTTCAGCTCATCCAATGACTTTCACAGTGAAAATGACTGATTTGGCCGCTGCAGCTCCTAATCTATTTTATTTTTTTAGATCACATGGCTAAGATGCTAACGATTGGCTGCTACTAGCAAACCACATTAGCCTCTATCAAGGTTATTCAGAAAAAAATAAAGCTAAAGATGTTTCCACAAGGCATGAACTGATATTAGATTGTCATATGACGTTTTATGGTATAAACCTGGAAAAAAAAGTTTAAATGATATAATTGTTATATTTAAAACATCTACATCTGCTGAAATCATGTAATTTTGTTTTTATCAAATATATGTTAACTAGTATTTTTTCAATTGGACTAAATGTGGAAGATGAGAAAAAAAATCCCTCAAATTTTGTGGTAGATTCTTTTAAGGCAGCTAAGAGAGAAAACAATAGCAAAGAAATTAGTCAGGCTAGCTGCTTACGTAGCTAGCCTGCTAGCGACTTCTTTTGAAAACATGCGTCTGATAGACTGACAAGTGTAGGCTAGTTTAGGATAGTGTGATAGTCACACACATGTAAGGATTCAATTCTTTCCCTATTTTTTATTTTTTTTTTTTTACAAAGTTAACACTTGTTTTTAATGTTTAAAAACAGCTAAAGCTGCCTTTCTTGTAGGCAAAGGAAAACTGCAGTAGCCTCCGTTAAGGTAGCTCATTAGCAATTCCATGAAATATCGTCACCAGGATCTTTTTTGGCATCTCAAGACCGTAAACTATGGCTATGTTCACACTGCAGTCTGAAGTGACCCAAATCGGATTTTTTTGCACATATACGACCTGTATCTGATTTTTTCATGGCTGTCTAAACAACACAGATCCAATTTTTTCCAGTCTGACCCAGGCCACGTGGCTCTGTGGTCCTGAATCCGATACGAATCTGATCTTTTCAAATGCGACCTGTGTCTGAACAGCCAGGTCGGATTGTTGTTTAACAATCGAAAAGATTGTGTTTTTATGGTTGGAAAAGACCGCTAGATGCGCTCCGGCACTACCATCCATGTTTACTTCCGCCTGTGACGTCATTGCGTCCTCTACTGCGCAAGCGGGACACTTGCGTTGTATGACTAAAGTTCACACAGGAGATCACATACAAGTCGTATATATTTGGAAATGTGAACGGCAACGTAAAAAAAATTCAGATTTCGCAAAAAAAAATCGGAATTGAGCATCAAGGCCTGCAGTGTGAACGTGACCATGTTACTTCTCAAACAGGAATTAGCGCCCGCCACACAGGCAAATTAGTCCCACTAAATTACCAGGTCAACTTTTTTCACATTTAACCCTGTAATGGTGGGATGTATGTACCTAATATCACCTGCAGGTGGCAGTAATGCAAGGGATACAGCTTTAACTGATCAAGCCAAACTCCAAAGAAGAAAACTACTTAAATTGAAAACTTGCCTTCTTACTTGATAAAATGTTGCCAGCCCTTTTATTAGCAATGATGTTGTACCTGGATCAATTGTTGCTAGGCAATGTGTTGCCCTGAACTTTTCCTGTATACACACGAAATGCATGCCTTACCCAATAATGTAATGGCTTTGTTCAGATTAAACTTGCCCTGGTAAATTAGCAGGTATAATACTAGGTCTCGACTTGGTGTAGGTAGCAGATGTCGGGGCCCTATACCTGCTGACGGCATTACTATAAGACAACACCACTCTGAAAAATTGTATTGCGCCTGGTTCATAAGAATCAAATCTTCTCTGGAGTCCCTACTTATCATTTTCTATATTTGCTATTATTTTAGATTTTCTTTGTCGACCTAAAGTAGCCAAAAATAGAAAACAGTCATTCTAACTCTTGAAGGCAAGCTCTGTCTGCGACAAATGAAAGATATTATGTAAAATGACTTTTGTGGAGATTTTAGACAAAGAAATGCTTGTAGAAATTGGACGGTTCTTGTTAAGAATTTAAAAGTCATGTAGCTTAATTTTGGTAGATGACCTAGTTAAAAGAGGCTAACCCATTAGCTACTGCAGGCTAACAGCCTTGCTCATGCTCCATCAGCTAATTTGCGCATCCAGATACATCCGGGTCGCCCTCGACTTTTGTTAAAAATACCTAAATGATGTTTTTCCCTCCCAAAAATAGTAAGCATACTAAAATATAGTGAGATAAAGGTCAATAATGTATTTCCTGAGAAAATAAATGCCTTAAAATCTTTTTAGTTATATCACTCGTCTGTGCCCGATCTGCACCTGAAATGGAATCCTACGCTACTTTCGGTGGCTAACTTTTTCGGCTTTGGATTTAAACATAAATCTAGTATTTTTGAGTTTGAGGACTACTGTGAACATGCCGATGGTGATGTCAGAAAAGCTGTTTAACAAAGAAAATGTAAAAAGCATAAAAATAGTCTCAGAAAAGTCATAAAACATTTTTTAAGATGTGTATTAGCATTCTTTTGAAAGTTAAGGATAGACATAAGTAATTTTAGTAACATGATTACATTATTTATGGACACCGGGGTGTATATCTGTTTGCGCATGCGCAGAACGGACCGTTTTACCAGATTTTACCCTTAATATGAATGGGGGCGCGTAGACTGTTATTACGGTAGAAAGAGAGCGTGAGCAAACTGCACGCAGACACAGCTGTTAGCTAGCCGGTTGGCAGCTGTTAACGTATCGATAAAGAACAGAGCGCACAATCTTAAAATAGACGATGACGTTCATTATCAGAACCGGTCACAGCTGCCCTGTGTTATGGTGAGCGTGTTAATTGGTAAATTTGATTTAAATTGAGCTGATCATTGAGATAAATGTTTGGTTCGTGCCCAGGTTAATAAAAAAAGGACATGATTGGTTAGTTTTACTAAAGATGAGGACCGGAAATGTAACTTAAACCAATCTAATCAATAAAGTAAGACAGACCATTGGTTGCAGTTCGCATTTTACACTTGATTTTTGTTCTTTAAATATTATTAAATATGTAAAAATGGATGAAAGCATCACTGTTCAGGTTTCCTATTTTGATTTTCATGATATGTATTTATTTTTTAACCTGACTCCGCCAGATGGATTTATTCCGCATATCCATCTGGAAACCTTCCGTTGAAGAAATATTGGGAAGGGGCGAAAATACTGGTTAGCTGATTGGCCTATGTTGGTAATAGACGGGCCAAATAAACCAATCAGATCAACGAAGCATATGACGTACTAACAAAGCGACGACGAAAACAACCACAAGCCATGCTACTCTTGCCGAAACCAGTCGGGAGAAGAGCAAAAACATCTTTTCTTCTGAGAAAAGCCTCCAGAGCAGTGTTTTGCTCTTCTTTCAGTGAAGAAATACTCTGTAATTCCGATACTTGCTCGATAGCCACGCTAACGCTAGTTTCATCGGCTGAAGCCGCCATGTTCTTTAGACTGAACTGTTGCGCTTCTTGTTGCGTCACACCTCAACCCGCCTCAAAGCCAACGCTGATTGGACGTTCGTTTGGTGAACGGCTCCAAATTTTCTTTAACGGATCTGCAGGTGAAACCTTGAAAGCTCGCGAGATCAGGATGGTCTCACGGGGCTATTTATTTTTATCTATGAGCTGGAAATGTCCCCAGATTAGATTGCAGAAATCTGGTCATATTAAACATGAGTAACTTCAACTATTCAGGAACATACATACATTATCTATTGCAATAATATTTTTTAAAAGTTTCTTCTACGTGAATTTTATTTTTTTATGATATTTATTTCTTTTTTGTGTATATTTTTTTCTATCCTTTATATCCAAATACCAGGATTCTCCCATTATTCTTTGTCTGAGCATTTTCTATTTCCTCCAGTAATTCTTGGATGACTGTTTTAGCCTAATATAGTAAAATAAATACTTAACATAGTGCTATTAATACTTGAATAAAACCAACCTCTGACTCAGTACATTACTGTGCAAGGTTGTTAGTGTGAAAGGGGCTTCTGACAGCAGTGGGGAATGCATTGTCAGGATTTCTGCTTCAAGGTAACCCTTAAACAGAACATTGAGGCGAACTAGAGATTTTGACTGGAATAATTAAATAAATTCCTGTGAGGAAGAATAGAGGAAGAGAGACTGAAACCTCTGGAATGTCATTAGTGGGTGAGTTTAGAGAGGAAATCCCTATGCTTATCATATGTAGAACACCTTATACTGAGGAAACTGTTCTTTTACTAAATATACATGGAAATGATATCAGGAAGCGATCAGACTGGGGCTGGATATCCGCTAACGGCCTTTTCTGAAATGACTGGGATCAGTTCCGGGACATTCCTAGTAACGACCTTCAGATTTGTTTGCCTCATGACAACAAACTAACAAGCAGATAAATAAGGGCCACAGAAATAGACCGGAAGTCAGGTCAGAAAGCTGTAACTGCGCAGTGGTTTGGCCTAATACAAACATGGTGGTATATACAGGCAGTTCGATTAAATAGGAATTGCTCTGGCAGCTGGCATTCCGAGGAAAACACTGATTTGGAAGAAACGAAACAATGGCTGATTTATTCGACTCCTTTTTCTTTTTTTCCCCCTACATTTCTGGGTCAGTTTAAGGTTCCCACTAATCTGTGATTTTCAGAATAAAAGTCTAGGAAGAGGCCTGACATCGATCCTGACACAATCTCTTCTGTGATTTTAAAGATAATTCGCCCACCCTTAATTCCATCATTCACATCTGTCCTGTTTCTTACTGAGTTGAGGGGGAGCAACGCAAGCATTGTAATAAAAAAGTTAAGCTCGAGTAAAAAAACTGAAAAAAAAACAATAAAAGGAAAACAAAAAATTGCAGTATCAGGTAATAACTTAGCATTCAAATCAATGCGTTTATGAGTCAAAGAAGGTTAAGAAAACGTGGACGTTAAAGCCCGATACAGCAAGATGCCACCAAAGCAACAGCAAACGTGGAACTTGGTAGTTTATTTTCTCTCGTCACGGAGTTTCCACTTTGGCATGCACATGACGTGTCCCGCACAGTGTCAGCTACGTCTCTCCCCTCCGACAGGAAGAGACGGGGGTGAAGACTTGGATGCTTTGTACAGGTTCATAAAACACGGAGCTCCCAGTACGTTTGAGTGGAAGACAGTATTTAAAAGGAAGAGGACGAAAAGTTTCTTATTTCTCATCGCCAAAATAGCTTCGGCAACATATTTGGTCGGGATTTAAACAACAACGACAACAATAAGAAAAAAAAAAAAGGAGGAAGATTGAGCAGATTGAAGGTGTAGAGAGGTCTAGCTGTGATGAAGGTTGGATTGGCTCCATTTTGGCACTGTTGCGTCATCTAGACGGCGAGTCGCAGTCGCCTCTGGGAGCTCGCCTTCCTTGGCGCGATGGCGAGGAGAAGGAAACACTGATTCCCACCCAGCAGAAAGAAAAAAAAAAAGAAACAAAACTCATGCAGGCATGCAAACACAACCTGAGAGGGTCCAATAAGAAGTTTGGCTTCATGTCAACAGTCACAAATCCACAAGTGTCAAGTAATGAGCACACACACTGCAATGGGAAGTCCTCTTTATACAGACATTAAGTCTCCAGTGGGAAGGAAGCCTCCGAAGCGGTCCACTTTCATCGCCTTCGTCTTTTATCCGCCTCTTTGTTGTTTTTTAAACTTTGTACATCAGATCCTCTGGGTCAGAGTTTCTAGGTAGTTTTTTTTTTTATTCTTTCTTTTCTTTTGCCACCCTTTGCTTTGCAGCAGTTCACACTCTGATGGGAAGAGTTTGGCTCATCTGTTGTCGGATGATTTCCTGACTGTCTTCCGGGCTCTTCCTGTTGTGTCCCGGCAGCGTTCCTCCCAGCCGCAGCAGATCCCTGCCAAGACAACAGCACACAGGTCAGCAGCGGGTTCAAAGCCACCTTGCACTAAAGCTGCGAGTCGAGAGCCGGCCCTCTAAAGTGCTTCTCTGTTGAAAGTAAATAAAGGTCTAATCCATCTCGCTGTCAGAGCTGCTCAGTTCTGCCGAGCCCTCGCACTTAGATCTAATGATTGCAAATAATAAGAAATACAACATCAGGGGAATAAACTTTAAAAGTGCTGATCTGAGGCCTCATCTGCTGTAAACGACTCCAGAGCCAGGCTAAATCTATTCATCGCAGTTTTAATAAAAGTTCAACATATATTTCTTGGCTATCTTGGGGGAAGCGGCGCCACGGCGTCGAGTGTCCTTTGTTCCTCGGCCAGTGTCCTTGTTTTTAAGGCCCATGCGGCAGGAGATACTCGGCTTGATAGCGCCGCATCTCATATCCCCTCTCTCCGTCCCTTATCTGCCCACAGCATCGCCCTGCAGCCAATGGCGACGGAGCGTTTTGGACGCAGACGCAGCAGACGCTCTCTAAATCATGCTCTGACAACATGATTCTTCTCCTCTCCCTCTCCTCTCGGCGCTCCTTCGCCATCCATCACTCGCTGCCGCTGCATACTGATGAGGCCATAAATTAATCATTGGCATGTCATCGGCATACAGCGACAGCAAAACATGCAGATGCACACCCGACGCAACACAAACACACGCGCGGACACGTGCGCGTCCCTGCGTCGCGGCACTGGGTGCGCCCTCCCCTGATGCATTAAAAAGCTCATTAGCAACCTAATTAAACACATTCCTCTCTTTTAGCTTCTCCTCAATCCCCCTTATTACTCACACTTCATCACCCCCTGCTTTTCCACATCAGCAGCCCGTGCCGCTTCTGTCCTATCACCTATATTTCAGCATCCGGCCAAGTGTAAGGGGAATTAAAGCGAGGTCAGCCATTACATTTCCACACACAATTAGCTTCGCTGGGCCCAAATCCTGGCACAGGAAATGCCCTCAGGGACTCTGTGTTAGAGTGAAGCTCTGAGCCAAGGAGCCGCTACCCCACCTGGAAAGAGGAACGTGTGAATCCCGCCTTCAGTGTCTGTCAGCCAGCCGGCGGCTGAGACGCGGCGCCGAAGATCCGCGTTTGATTCATTATACATCACTGCTGATCCGGCAGCCGAACTCGCACTAATGTTGTTGACGAAATTCCAGGCTAACAAAATTCAGAACAAACAACGTCAGCAAGCCAAAGCGTTACGAGTCGGCAAACTCAGAGAGAAACAACTCCTCGGGGCGAGCGCAGCTACCTTCGAAAACGAGTCAACATCTCCGCTTCCTTCCACCGAGAAAGTGTCAGAGACGCCGAGGCAGACATCCGTCTGGCAGCAAAAAGGCCTTCAGCGCACGGAGGGATCCTATCGAGTATAAAACAAAGAGAAGCACAACAAGCACGCACCTTGTTGTGCTTCTCTTTAGGCCAGACATAATTTTTTTTTTCCTGTGACATCTTATTCCAGCAGCCCAGAGGCACAGCGCTGCCCCATCTCTGCAGCAATCTTTATCTTGCACTGAGCGGCAGTCATATACAATACTGAAGACAATTTCACACAGGGAGAAGAAAAATGCATCACGGCTTTATTTTCTGCTCCCCATCATGGAATAACCTCCAGACCATTTTGAGCGCTGATGAAAAAAAGAACTCAGTGATAAAACACTTTTTTTTTTGTCAAACTTTGCCCAGAGTAGCAAAGTTACCAACAACTTGCCTCCATCTACAGCGTAGCAGCCTATTATTGTTAAATGACAACTGCCAGAACAGACGGATGATTAAGGAATCCGACAATATAACCTCCAGACATAAATCCATTTAAGAAAAAGTCTTGGATGAGCATTTCAGCGTCTGGAGGGACCCGAACAAAAACCATCATAAACACACAGATTTGGTCTTTGGTGTCTTTTCTTGCGCTAACTTCGGAAAATCTAGTAAACTTGTCCTGAAACATTTCACAACGTCGGAGCATCCAGGGAGAAATCTCTTGACCCATTTCTTCTGACGGTCCAGAATACTTGAAACGTGGAAAACCACGTTTTGGATTAAACTAAAACTTGCTGAATATTTCAAAAGATAATCATCGTTGCAGTTTTAGAGGTTGCAACACTGATCACAGCAAGGATGTAACATTGTATTTCCTCAATATCTCTTCTGCTTATCAATAAACATCTAGTTAGCTGGAATTACTTTTACTGCATATTTTCTCTCTCAACCTGATACTGACTTAAGTTAAACTGAAAAGGATTTGTTTTGGACTAAGAAAACAGCAAAAAAGTGAGCAAATCACAATCAATATTAGATTCATATCAGATGCAGTAATAATCCATTTACAATTTACTGGTAAAGTACATATTGTCATTTAAAATTCATCGTCAGAGATCATGAAGTTAAAAGTCCTGCCTTCCTAATAAGGAAGGGAACATTTAGAAGAGAAACAGGCCCACACACTGGAAAAAATGTACTAAAAAATAAGTAACAACTTCTTAAAATATGTGTATTTGCCTTTAATTTCAGAAGTTAAATATGTAATAATTAATTATGCCCATATAAATAATAAATTTAGATATTAAACATTAAAAATAAGATTTGCAAAGAAAAATTGACCGAAGAAAAATGTATTAAACTCCACAATACTTTATCTCAAAGGGAAAAAAATGTTGCTGTAACTCATAGGCTGTTTTAATTTCAATGGATTGTTGTAGATTTTAAAAGCTGTATCCAGGACCGATCTTTTGCAGCGATTCGTCTTGCAACAGATCTGTAAGTGCAAGATATTTTCATTACGTTTTTATTCTAATCTGATCAAAAAAACATGGTTCTAGGTTAGCAAGCTCTGTTTTGTGGATGAGGAAGAAGATTAGAGCCATAAAAAAGTTTACTAAAAATAACTCTGATTTATGATTTTTCTAACTTTATTTTCAGAATTCTTATTTTTCTGGGTGTATTAGGGCCATTGAAAAGAAAAAAAATGAATAGGATGATTAAAAAGTCTGCTTTAAAAAGGTGAGAATTGTGAGATTAGTAAGAATTCTTAGATCATAGGCAGAATTTTCAGTTTAAAAACAGAATTCTGCAATTAAATTGATATTTCTTAATTAAAGTCGTAGGGAAGCGGCTGTTCCAACGGTTGCAGTACCAACTTCTCCCGAGCGGTGCCCGACTTTATACGAGTCAATAAAGTGATTGGTCGTTTATTAAGGGGGTTTGCTAACCAGTTAGCAACATAGTGCTAGCAGGTTCCCAATAGGAAATTCCATTGGGACCAAGTAGCACTAATTGGTAACTTAGAAACGACGCTGTCAAGGAACGCTATAGACAGCGGAAACATGCAAGAGGAGGAGAGTTTAGTGTCGGAGGTCGTGGATGAGTCTCCTCCGTCATCCATGTTTTATTTAGAGGAGGACAGCAGGGACGAAGATGTTGTGGAAGAGGACGCCAGGGCGGCAGAAGCTTGGTTTGGTGTAGAAGGCTTCCAGCCGTACATGTTTGAGCCCTTGCCTCGCAACGCTGCCAGTTCTGTTAGCTCTACGCCTGCCGAAGACACAGACGTCCATCCCCGTGAACACTGGGATGGAACTCAATGGGAAAGGAAAGGATTCTGATTTCAACTGTTGCGTATATAAGCTGCGACATATGAATCAAGATGCTATGACCGAAAATATTTGATAGACAGATGACCGTTGATGCATGATTGGCCGAATTAAGGTGTACAAACTGACGTATAACTAACTGGCCTGGATAAGATAACGGGGAAAAAACAGAATTTAAATAGAAATTCTCTAACTTTTGGGACAATATGGTCTGATAAAGAGTACATTTATCTATATCTTTAAGCAAGAATGATTTGAAATTTAAATATGATTTTCCTAACACTTTAAAAGTCAGAATTAAGATTAAAGATTAAATTTAGTATTCTGAGTTGTAACCAAGAATTATTAGATCAGTCAGAATTATAAGCTTAAAGTCAGAATTCTGACCTTTTTTCCAGGAGATTTATTTTCCAGTACCTCTAATCCTCCTCCACACATTTGGAAGAACAGAAACAATAAATCTTATCTGCCGTCACCTGCTAACCTCTAGAAATGTAGCTCTAAGATGCTCTTACAGCAGGACTGTAACAGTGAGCTTTGGGTGTTTTATCACCTGCCTTTGATTCCTGCTCACCCCACATGTGTGACTGGAACATAAATATGGATCCATGTCCAGCCTTGTTAGCCAGTAGCTAAAAGAAACAGGAAGCCTGCTTCATGTCATATTTATAGCTCAGAAAAGCAGAAAACCATAAATACTAATTAGAAGTTTCTAGAAACTAAGATTTATATCAAATCAAACTTCAATAGAAGCAATAATGGCAACAGTAGTAATACTGGAAAACTGTATCCTTATAAAAGTGAAGGTTGAATTTAGGAAATGTGTTTATTTTTAACGTTTTTCTGCATCGTCGAGTCGAGCCAAATGTCTTCATAGCTTAAAACTCTAATAAAACATCATCCCAGACTTCAATCCAACTCCTGTGGTTGTTTTGAACAGGGATGTTCTGGTCCAATCAAACTTACATGTCTGACTCACCCTGAGTAGCTGCTGGTCACCACCTTGAGGCTCGCGGCGTTGCGGAGCAGCTTATCCAAGGTGCTGACGATGCGGGAGAACTTAGGCCTCAGGTTTCTCTCCTTCATCCAGCACTCCAGCATCAGCTGGTGCAGAACCATGGGGCAGTCCATGGGCGGGGGCAGCCGGTAGTCCTGTTCTACGGCAGTCATTACCTGAGACGCAAAAAGTGACTCATAAGAACAGTATAGGTTTCTCTACATTGCTAAATTTAAACGCTATAATGCTAGCATTGGAAAGCTAAGTGGTCACCCAGGTTGAAGTTGGAAAACTTCAGCTAGAACTGTCACTACCATTGCTCTCTATTCACTGGATTGATGAGTGCCCCAAAAAAGTGAAGCCACCATCTGCCATATTGGTACTCCCCACTCCCATGGAGACGCGCAATAAAAATGCCTACATGTGTAGCATTTGGCTGCAGAAACAACAGTTTGCCGGCTGTGGGAAGACGTTCATGAGGTATTTTCACAGTCAGTGGATGTACTAACCAAGAAAATCCATATATACACCGATGTATCCTATAGCATAGTGTGTAGCCTAACGTTACTCTGGCTATTTTGGACTGACTCGAAGACATTGACTGAGTTAGATATTGAAATTGTTTCTAATGTTAGAAAATAGAAAGTACAGTAAATAGAAAGTAATTCTATGTGAAACATCAATGCAGTAATTCTTTATTAGGTGGATGATGCCGTCGTTCCTGTAGTGTTTGTTGTATTTCTCATTTGAAACACATGTTATTTTGAGGAAGAAAAAAAAAAGAACTCAATCATTTGACTCATATATATATATATATATATATATATATATATATATATATATATATATATATATATATATATATATATATATATATATATATAGCCCTTACCCCAGGGTAAGACTTTCCTTTTTTGATAAAGCTTCTAGTTAGAGTGGCTCAGGTTATCCTGAGCTATCTCTATAGTTATGCTGCTATAGGCTTAGACTGCTGGAGGACATGGAGACGCCTATTTCATCATTCTAGTTCATTCTATCTATATTATCCCACTTGTGCTCCATTAATATATTAATTTTGTTGTGATGTATTTGTAAAACATGTTATATAACATGATTTATAGACTTCATAATGACTATGCAATGTGAATTGGCCTGTTTTTTTATCATAAGTTACAGTAATGTACTTATGCTAGGAAGCAGCAAGTGTGTGTGAAAGTAATTAATTAATCTATATTTTAAAAGTCTTAAGTCCCCCTGAAAATGAGAACATCATCGTTGTTCGATGCTGAAGCGCACGTATAGTTTATAATGCGACCGGTCTAACTAGAGAGTACCAATGTGGCGGCCGGTAGCTTCACATCAACCAATGGGCAATCAGCAATCCAGTGAATAACTAGAGATCAATGGTCACTACCTGATCTGTCCCAGAAGCATGATCCATCCTGAACATGCGTGAACAGAATAATAAGATTCAGGTCGCTGAAAACTATGTAACAACGGTACTGAAAATACTTATTTATATACTTAAAACATTAAAGAATGTTAAACTACATCATATAGAAAATATTGAAGACTTTTCTAGAAGTAATGGATCGTTTTACATTCTCTCCATTGTATTGCGCGACTCTGAAATGCATTGAATTCACATATTTCAATTCACTTTATTTATATAGCGCCAATTAACCTCAAATAACATCATCATCGGACATGCTCAGAGCACTAATGTTCGAAAGGCTAATTAAATGTTTAATTATGTGTTGCTTTTTTTGTTTTTAGAATATGCAATATTTACACAAATACAAAAATATTTAAAAGGAAACCATCCCTTTCCCCAAAAAGACAAGATTAAAAAAAGTAAGTAAAAATGAGGTATTTGCCTACCAGATGTTTTTCTCTTTACGCATGCACAGAACAGATCGTGCTTCCGGGATGGATTGGGTAGTGATAAGAACATGAGCTAAAGTTTGAGATCAACCTAGAAGGTCGAATGTTCTTCAAAAAACAAAACAAAAACAAAAAAACAACTCCAATATGGCCGCCACCCCTAAACATAAAGAGGGCTGCATAAAGAGTGTTCATTTGTCCTCCTACCAGTTTGTAGCTGATTAAATAATTGGCATTTAGTACTCTGCAGCATCTGTCATTATACTTTAAACTTGTAGCCCCAATGAAAATGAATAGATACATATGCATCTACCCAATGAGTGATAAACCTGATTTCCATAGATGAAGTTAAATGTTCAAAGATCAGCAGGTGTTTACAGTTTTCAGCCAGAAATAGACTCTCTTCCAGCGAGAACGCCTGGATTGAAGCTCCTGGAGCAGAGATGATGCAACACTGACATCAAATCTCAAAGACAGACGGTAAATTTAGATCAGTTAACTCAATAAGAGCAACAAAAACATGAACATGAAACCTTGACTTTGTGTTTATGTGAAGTCATGCAGCTCATCTAGTACAGCTGTTGTTTTAGTAATAGGGAGGCTCGCAGCTGCAGTTTAAACTATTCAACTTTTCCTTTTTATGCTTTTCAGTCTCAGCTAAAACAAAATCAATATTTGGACATATGAGACATATGTTTTATTCATAAAAAAAAGAAATGATATTGGATTGATTGTCAGCTGAAGAATTTTTCAATCTCCATGGGTCAGGATGATTTAAATTGTTTTGTTGCTCTGTGAGCTGGGAATCAGAAGCATTTTTATCTGACAGATATTGGCAATAATATCACTTTTTTTTAACAACAAGGTAGTGGGGATTTCAGAATCTTGTTCTTAAATTTACAAACGGCACATTTTGGAGAAAACAGTAGACATTTCTTTTTTTAAGTGTCGGTAAACATGCATAAGGAAGACCGAGCGGGTTTAAAGAATCCAGGCTTAGAGCCATTTGTGTCACCTGGACGGCCATACAACAGGTATTCTCACTGATGCAAATCAGGGAGGCTTTTTTTGATTTTCTTTTTACTCAGAGGCTGATTAATTACGAGATATTAAAATCTTTTTAAAAGCTGAAATGTTAGGAAAAAGTAGAAGATTTATCCGTAAAACAACCACTGTTTTTTGGCATTGTCTTCAATTCCATAGTAGTCAGGAGGACCGCATCTGTCCGCTGACTTTTACTGTTTCTGCTGAAAATAGAATAAAGCTAAAAACATTTAGTCATAGAGAGATTTTGCAAACGTGAATTCTCCATTAAATTAAGGCAAATGTACAGTAAGCTATTGGTTGACAAAAATGCACATACTTCTAAGCTGCAAAACTTTAGTTTAACCAAAAGAAAACATGTTTATAAAATAGATGAATGCTAAGTTTATTATTGAGCAGTTAAATCCGTCATAGCGCCGTATTTTACGTATACAGTCTTTTTGAAATTGTCTTTAAATCAATGTTACCTTATTTCTAGAGGAAAAAAGTTTAAATAGAAGTCATTTGTACGACGGAGTATTAGGGCCAGGCTAATGTGTGATTTATGTTTTATTAACTCTTGCTTAAGATTGTTCCAGATAAAGGTCATGCAACGGACGGGTTGTGAAGGAGGTCTGAACATCCTCTATCACATGTTTCTTCTAAACATGTGTTCTTGGAGCAATTCAATTGTAAAACAACCACATGCTTTGTTTTAACATATGTGCTGAGGTTTAAACTAAGATCCTTTTGTTTCCCTTTCCCTTAGTTAAACCTCAGCTGGTGTAATTAGGGACATCCCCTTTTCTTCAATAAATGGCAAAGAGAAAGCAGAAGACTGCAGAGTGGGGTGGAGATTGTAAACTCCGCAGTCTCCTTCCTATTCTCCTCGTGAGTAACTAAATTAATTGTCTCTGTATGTATGTTTGATGTTTTAGGTGCTTAGACCTGATAGCCAGGCTAGAGATTTTTTTTTCTATTACATTTTACGTGAGATTATGGACCTTCGATGACTTACTGAATGACTAGAAGTTTGGACATTACCATCTCAAACACGAGAGACATAAACCTCATCATTACGTCTCAAACATCAGAAACATAAGCCCCATTTACACTACCCTCTGGAAACTGATCCATGTTGAGCTCGGTTCCAAGCTCCCTTACGACCATTTACACGCCACGCTAGCACGTTTCCTCGCCTCCTAGTGATGATCTACGGTACTACTGCTCTCTTGAGGTAAACAAGCAACCCAACATGGTGTGCTCGTAACATTCAGGAAGTTTGCGGAGAGTCAGGCGAAGGCAGTCTTTGGTGAATTTACAGAGTCGGCTTTTGGGAAGTGGATACAACAAACGATAGTCTAATCAGGGCTTATAGACGCAGGAAACGACGACAGATGTTGAGGTTCATCACACTGCTAAGCAGAATCTTTGCTGGAAATCGTGTGGCACGGTAGGGAAGCTAGTATTTTTATGAATGTCTGAAGTTTCATGATTACGGAGGCTAACTGTAAGGAGATGCTCATGCGCTCTTTGTTATCAGAGATCCGTGCCAGAACTGAACCCCGCAGAGCCCCACTGATGAACTAGTACCAGTTTAGCGCGGTTCGGTTTAGTTGTGCGTGCCATTTACACTCAACAGTTATCGCTGTTACTGTGTTTGGACCGTTTTTGGCACAGTTTCAAAAGGGTAGTGAGAAAAAGGTAGCCTGACAGTTTGCTATGTTGAGCCCTTTAAGAGGCGGAGCTTAGGGCACCGTTGAGTCACATGTAGATGAGGAAGAGAGAGAAGGAAACAGGAGCCATAGAGTTTACCGTTCTTAGGTTGTCGGTTTCGTCTTGCTTTTGCAGTTTGTTGTTGCGTGAAATGCAAGCACAGTAGGGCTGTCACGATACTAAACTTTTCAACTCGATACCGATACTAAGGAAAATATTCGATACTCGATACCATTTTCGATACCACAAGGATAAAAACAAAGACTCCAAAATTCTACAGAAATATTTTCATTAATAAATAAAATACAATAAATAAACACAATAAAGGTTGTATGCTGTGCACAATATTAAGCAAGCTTGATAAAAAACTTATAAAATTAAAATTAAGTGTTCCTTCCTTGGCTATGCTTTGCACACATAACAATGACACTAGCCAAAGCAGTTAAGAAACAAAAATAATTCTCAGCAGCTGCACCTCTTACAAAAAAAAAAGTCTGAAACTGAAAAGTGCGTAGAATTATTCAATCACACAGTGTTCAGAAAGTGCATTTTCCTCTAATCTGCACTTTAGATGATTGACTGCTTAGGTGCCACTGGTAGTAGCACTGTATCGATACTTTTAAAAACGAGTATTGTATCCGGATACAACGTTTCAGTATCGATACTTTTTTGAGTATCGATACTTTAGACAACCCTAAAGCACAGTAAATAATGTCAGGGGTCAGTGACATTGTTTGTTTAACGGAGTATTTTAGTTTGCCTTTAGTTTGTGACATGTTTTATTCACATGCGCACTTAAGAGTTAAATAATGTGGTTTGCTTTCTCATGTGGTGTATTTAGTTAGAAACAAGACGTTTGTAGTTATTAATACTGCAGTGTATAAAGTGAGATATCAGTTCAGTTATTTGTTGGTAATTATTCAGACGCTGATATTGTATTGTTGTTGTCTTTCTAGAAAAAACATACACATTATTACGGAAATTAATGAATAAACTGCAAGGACAAGTTAGACCTATTGGAGTACGAATCTTCCTACTAGCAATAAAATCCCAAATTTTCAGGTAGTGTAAATGGGAATATAATTTATCTTCTTCTAGGGGTGTAAATAATAATCGTTTTGTATCGATGCATCGATCCAAAAGCCGACGATCCGATGCATCGATACGTCCGCAAGATAATCGATTCATGTTTTTTTTCCCTCCGGTCTATTTTTATCCATTTGCTCCTGGGCGTAATTCTCCCTCCCGTGCTGCGGTGGCGCTAAACCTATTTTGCCCTCCTACCTCGCTTCCTGGTTATACTCTTACAGCAGTTTGTTGCAGCAAGCTTCACACAGACATTTTTGATTTATGCTCAGTATTGAAGCGTGGTCTGGGCTACATGCTGTGGGTCTAGATACGGCCGAGGCGGTGAGGAAGTGGGGGCGAGTTTAGTCCGACGACGGAGGGACAATGGGGCAAAAAGAGTGGAGATTCAGCTGGAAAAAGGGTCCCAGCGTTCTCGCGCACCTCGCTCTTCTAGCGGGTCGAACTTCACGAGTTGTTTTCCGCAATTTCGGTCATAAAAACAAAACAAGCCGGCCTCCTGTCTGCTGCACTGTTTGCAATCAGCTACAATCTGGGAGAGGAGCAGCGGAGCGTCTCTCAAGGGGGCGGTGACGTCAACACTGGAGCCTTCTTCTTCTTCTTTTTTTTAATGGCAGTTGGCAAACAACTTATAGGTGCATTACCGCCACCTTCCAGAATGGAGTATGGACCAGACAAACTATTATATTCTCCCTAAAATACCCGTTCTTCTTAGAAAATTAAAAATACTACCAAAAACTACATCCCCAGATGGCCTTTGAAACAATTCCCTTATATCTAGTTTATTTTTATTCCTGTCTAACTCTCTACGCAACATCTCTCTTTCCTGAGTATATTTATTACATTCTAAAAAAATATGTTGGACAGTTTCTCTGGAGCCGAGGTATTGCATTGAACTCATTACACTGATATTGTGCAGTATTTTTTGATGCAACTTTTCTACTTCTGTTATTTGCTGTTGTTTCTAAAGAAAATGCATAACGGTATTACAGCTTTCATTGATTTATTTCAAACTTAAAACTTTGTTTAGCCTGTAAGGTGTAAAAAAAAAAATAATAATAAAAAAAAAAAAATTAACCGATTAATCGAAGTGGTGTATTCTTGAGTATCGAAAATAATCAAATCGTTGGGTCTGGAAATCGATACTGAATCGAATAGCCATGATGGATGTGATTTACACCCCTATCTTCTTCTAATGTGATCTGATCCATTGAATCCTTTAACTGCTAAGCATTTCGTTCTGCCATGTGAAGGGATGTTTAATGCTAACAAACTAACGTACGTGTTGCAATTAAGCTAGATAGGAGGTGTGAGTTAGCCTTTAGCTCATTGATTCTTTGGAAAGCTGGACGTGTGTGATTTAAACATGCAGTGGATTAAAAAAAAAATAAAATAAGACTGGTAAAAAAAAGATACAAAAAAATGGGTTTATTAACTCCTGAATGGGGCCTATTACAGTTGCTTTTTGTATCTCTGTGTGCTTTAAATTGGCGCTTTATAAATAAACTGAATTAAACTGAATTCAATGCATTTCAGAGTAAAAAAACTCAGATTTAAAGCTAATTTCATCATTTCCCACCGTGCAGTCCTGGCTAACTCACACAAAGACTCTCTGTTTAGCGTTTATTGGCGTTCTTAGAAGGATAATCGCTGGTTTGTGTCTTATGTCCTCCGTTTGACAGCTGCTCAGCTCACGCTGTCAAACACTCCATCCTTCCTTTCAGCGTCTACACCCAACTCTATAAAACTAATCCCGAATTTGTCACTTCAGAACTGCTGTGACTGACGCCAGAAACAATAAGTAAAGGAAGAGCACGTCAGCTCATTGATTAGATTTTGCCTAGCAACCGCATTTGCCTCCATAAGCTCTGGATGGGTTTCCAGCTCCCTGCTTCAATAAAAAAAGAAGAAAAAAAAAGCATTTGGGAACAATAAAGCAGTTCTGCCGCACTCCTCTCTTCCTGCTGCTCGTCCTTTGATTTTGTGTCGTGCCTCCAGCCAGCGAGTACCTCTGTTTATATCTCATATTTGTTGACTGTTGCTTATTGAACAACAGCACAAAGGATAGGCAGAACAATGGAGAGCCTCTGCTTTGATGCTTTCATTACCCCGTTAGGGTCGTGTTGTGAAATTCATACATGCATTACTGCCGTTTTTCATTTTGATTGATTTTTTTTCTTGCTTTATTAGTATCCGTGTTAACACGTCTCCTTTCTGAGGCCCGATCCAGAGCGGATGCTCCTCAGAGAGGTAAGGCAGAGGTGTGCAGGACACAGCGCTTCAGCACTTTGCTCAGCGAGGAGGAACCCAGAGATTTCTGTTTTCTTTTCCCACAAAGCTCGGAGCTGCAGCTTCAGTGTCTGTGCAGTGCAGATAGCCGAAAGGTAACAAGGCCCATAAAAAAAAGCCTTTTCCTGAAAATGCCTTTGTGAGTGTGAGGAGGGAGGCTTTGCCGTATGGATTTGTAGGGTGTGGGCAGGCTTGAGCTGTAAATAAGGTGTAAAAAAAAAAAAGCAGAACACAGGCACGCAGCTGCACAGGCATCTGCAGACGGGAGATAAAGACTGCAGAACAGAGCCGGGTTTCAGCACGTCACTCTGGAAATCAAAGCCACTGCAGCTCTGAAGAACTCCCAGCCGGACCCTTAAACTCCTCCTCCTCTCAGATAGGTGCTCAGAGAGCGTGCGGCGGCGGCGGCTAACTCACGTCCTGGTTGCTCATGTCCCAGTATGGCCTCTCTCCGTAGGACACCACCTCCCACATGACGATGCCGTAACTCCATACGTCACTGGCGGAGGTGAACTTTCTGAAGGCGATGGCTTCCGGCGCCGTCCACCGAATGGGAATCTTTCCTCCCTGCTCAAACACGCAAACACACACAAACATGGCCTGTCAATACGACGGAATAAACAGCACTACGTTTTCAAATAAAACACATGGTCTAGCAAAAGTATGCACAGCCCTTGAACAGCTTTACACCTTGTCACATAACTGTGAAGTGAAGGGAAATTATTCATAGCCTAACGTTTATTTTAACTGATAGGAATCTGAAAAGTGTGGCATGCATTTACCCTCATAACCCTGAATGAAATCTGGTTCAACCGATTACCTATTAGTGTTACCTAATCAGTAATCAGAATTCTTTGTGTGTAACTTAGGCCCCGTCCACACGAAGTCAAACCCTGGCCTAAACGCACAAATTTTTCACCAAACCAGCCTCTCATCCATACGAAGCCGGCGTTTCGGGGGTCTGTAAACGATCTTTTTTTTATTCAGCCTTCAGAGTGGGAAGATTTTGAAACGCTGTTTTCGCGTTTCCATCTTTAAGCTCTAACCGCATTTTTTTTCTTACACGCATGCGTCATAGTGTCGCCTCTAAACACGCATGTGCGACACAGTATCACAACAACAATGGCGCCGTTGCTGCTAATGCTACTCACCCTGCTGTCGGGCTTACAACAGAATCTTCTTCTTCTGGAATATCTCCAGGAAGAACAGAGCAATATCGACGACATAGTTCAGCACCTGAATTTGACTGAACCACGAAAATGGACCCGCAGGGCAACCATGTATAAATATTACTACGCATGCCCAACATTTCGTCGCTTATTTTTGCTTTGGCACCAAAGCGCAACTTACAGGCCTGGCATACATTTTGCAGCGTTTTCATGCATTCGTGTGGACGATCACATTTATTTTACGTCTCCGTCTTTACGACAAACGTTTTGGAAAATATCAGCGTTTCGTGTTCGTTTTGACTTTGTGTGGACGGGGCCTTAATCTTTGAAAATATGTCATGACATCAGCCTGCATCTTAAAGACAAAGAAACGTGGCAATCAGGCTGTTTGGGTTCGAGTTGTAGTCAAGTTTAAAGCGGTTCGGTCCATTTTCAGAAAAAAAATGTAAAAAGCATTTCGGCCTAAATATGTTGCCATTTTCCTGATAACTTTGCTGTTTTTATATGTAAATAGTTCTAATTTTTATATTTTTAACCATGGAAGTCGCCATATTTTCAACTACACAGTTACTTGACAGAAAGCTACAGAGTAAACACGGAAGGGCTATAATGTTAGCAAAGCTGTTTTTATCACATTGCGTTTGACGGGTGTAAATTTAGACAGTACGTTCAAGTTTTCATGGGCAGTTATACATGAGATATCTGAAAAAACAAATGTGATCGGCTTGTGATCTACTGTTTACTATATTAGCTAGAGCTAACACCATTAGCAGAAGCTAACGTGAAATAAAAATCATCCGTAGATAATGAATGACCGCTTAAAGTGACAGTGAAGCAGATTTCAGTCGTTGTAAAACATGGTTCTAACATAACTGAGAAAATGTTTTATTCCTATGCTAACTATAAACAGCCTCAGTTATAAACTGGAGCTCTTGTTAGCATAGCTCGTTAGCTGGGTTAGCATCTCCTAGCAGCAGACGCACAATCGCCAATCTTTAACCAACTCTCCCGTCTTTCTATGTTTAGTTTTCCTTGTGTTCATGACACCCTCTGATTTTTATATTCTCGTCAACTTTTAACTGCAGCTAGCGCAGTTAGCTGCGGCTAGCTAGTAGCTAGCATTGCAGCATAAACAACACGACAATGACTGTTTTACAATATTTAATTGAAGTGTATTAACATAGCTTACACTAGTTTAACTTTATTTATACAGAAAAGAAATATTTGTGAAATAAAGTTGTTACGACTAATCGTGGATCCCTTTAAGAAATGTTTATCCTGTAAAGGAAGCAATTGAACACAATATCGGCTTTGAGAATCGGCAGCACATATCAGAGATCAGTTAGACTAATGTTAAAATAACCAGCAGTTGTGTCGGCCTAAAAAAAACAACAATAAGTCAGTCGAATTTTACCCAAAAATCTTTCCCTTTTCTAAAAATGAAGACAGAGCCCAGTCAGCACTTCACTTAAAGCTACAGCAAACAGATGAGAGGGAAAAGAAAAAAACACGCAAAGCATTTTCAGTAAAAGGAACACCACACCACCCCCCCTCAGTGAGACATGGTGACAGAAGCATCATGCTGTGGGGTTTTGATTTTCTTTTAAACCAGCATCAAACCTGAAGGGGAATGAAGGTAAATCCAGAACAATCATGGAAGACAAACCTGTTAGAGGCTGCAACAGACTTTAGGCTTTGGAGGAAGTTCTCAATTTAAAACAATCAATCTAAAAACAAGTGAAGTTTTCTTAAAATAAGTGTTTTTAGCCTTAATTTCAGCAGGTAAATAAGAGCATCTTCCAATGGAATTACCAGTTTTGCTGGTAAAAATACAATAATAAGAATTATGCATTTGAAAGATGAAACTGCAGTTGTTTTTAAAGTTAAATTGTCTTATTCCATCGACAAAGTGTCTCACTTACTTGCTCAAAGAAGAAATTATTCCTTTTTTAAAGAAAAATTGATACTTAGATTTCATATTTTTGTAGTGCAGTTTCTCGCAGAATAATGAACCAGATCACAGGATCCAGAGCTCTATATTAGATTAAAGAGCCAAAACCATTAGTAAAATGTAGCTAGACCTGCAAAGAGAACTCCATCCAATCTGAATGATCTGGATCTACAAAATGTTGTGTCTAGACGAGCAGAGCTCAAAAGTCTTATAAAGATATTTATAAGTCTCCAAGAAGAAGCTATGAGTCAGTTTGTGTTCATATCTCCGAATAAAATCCAGAACCTAAAGGTTTGTGATGTAATGATGTAAGGAAGAGGAAGCAAACACCCTCTTATATCACTAACCAGGGAGCTTGTGTAAGTGGGGTCAGCAGAGGTGTCATCCAGGAAGCGCGAGAGGCCAAAGTCAGAGACCTTGCAGACCAAGTTGCTGTTGACCAGGATGTTCCGTGCAGCGAGGTCCCGGTGCACGTAGTTCATGTCTGACAGGTACTTCATCCCGGCAGCGATGCCACGCAGCATCCCGACCAGCTGCGTCATGGTAAAGCGGCCGTCGTTGAGCTGCAGATAGAGGCGGGAGACGATTAGGGAAATATAGGAGGAGTATAGGAGAGAAGGACGACACCGGAGGCGAGCCAATCAGTCACTGAAGCCACACAAACATGACATCTGTCATAATGCTTCACAGCTGCTGCTGACACTCACTGACGGCTGACCTTTTCACACACGCTGTCCAATTAGTAGATTAATTATACACTTTATCTCTACACTAAAGCTGTTTCTGTCTGCCACCGATTTGATAAAACGAGGTAAAAGCAAACTGGCAGGCTGCTTGCAGATACACACCGCCACGGAGGCAGATATTCACATCAGTATATAAAAACTAAACAAAAACAACGCATTAAAAAAAGAAAAACAGCCTTTAAACTGCATCCTTCACTCGACTGGCAGCTTTTTTGCCCTCTTTGTTATCATTAAAGAAGCATGAAACAAATCTTAGATTGGGGCTTTCAGGGTTCATTTTACAATTCTCCACATTAGTGAAGCATGTCACAAAGCGGAGATTATAATAAATGATCACTCCGACCGGTGAAGACTCGTGACCCCTGATGATGGGAGAGCTGGAACAAATCGATGGAACGTCAATAGACAATTAAAAGAGAAGTTTCTGCTGAGCTGCATCGAGCCGCATCAAGCTGCACGGCGAGCATTCCCTCACAAGACCTGAATATCTGCAACGAAACCAAAAAAGCGCAGGACGAAAGGACTGCGAGACTGTTGCCGTCTTTGAAGAAGCAACACATGATGTGACATGGCAGAAACCATAAACATGCTGCTTTGTAGTCTGCACACTCCAGTGGAGTCCGACAGTCGAGCAGGCTGGGATGGATGGATGTATAAACATGCATGGTTCGCTGCAGGCCTTCCCAGAACCCTGTGTACGCGTCTGGGTTATTTCAGTACTTCTGAAAAGCTTCCATGTGTGCAAATGTCCCGTAAGCAGGCAGGGCAGGTTATGGGGTGAAATAACTCTCAATAAAAACATGGCTGTAGGAATCTGAATTTGCAAATATCAGTCAATAACATGTATAAATTTGAGATTTCTATTTCTTTTTTTTAATCCAATCATAGGTACATCTGATATTAGGATGTCATCGGAGAAAATACAAAGTTATACATTTTACGATTTAAATTCCCAAATTTACCAGTTTGAATCACTTATTTACAACTAGGGGTAATGTTTAACCATTAGGAATCAGAAATGAACAGATGCTAATTAGAAATTTACGAGTTAAATTCCCAAATTTACCAGTTTGAATCACTAATTTACGACTACGGGTCATGCTTAACCATTAGGAATCAGAAATGAACAAATGCTAATTAGAAATTTACGAGTTAAATTCCCAAATTTACCAGTTTGAATTACTAATTTACGACTACGGGTCATGCTTAACCATTAGGAATCAGAAATTAACAAATGCTAATTAGAAATTTACGAGTACGTATCTCAAATTCATAAGAAAAAAATAATCAATTTATAGATACAAATTGCAAATGAAAAATCACAAATTAAAACGTAGGAATCACAAATTTAGAAGTGTGAATCACAAATATGTCATTGCAAACATTATTGTTATTTATTATTAATAATTAAAAGTGTATAAGTATAAATCCTAAATCTACCATTTAGAATTAGGAATCATTAAGAGAAACAAATTTTATTGTCAAAATGAAATTTCGTTTAGTACAGCTTTTCAGAAGTTAATTATGAATATTTCCATTCCATAAAGTGCAGCAGCGATCAAATGTAAACAGTATGAAGATCCCAAATTTAAAAAATAAAAATCCCAAATTATCAAGAAGAAATTACAAATTTACGAAAAAAAATCTAAAATTTTAACTTAGGAATTACAAATATACAATTATGGATCAAATATTAACAAGTGAAAATCACAAATTTACTACAAAAAAATCAGAAGTCTAGCAGTCAAAATCACAAATTTATACGTAGCAGTCAGGTGCGAAGGAGAAATAATGAGAACAGATTCAAAATTTCAGATGGAAAATTCCGTACGGATGGAAAATGTACAAATAGATGGATCGAGCATTAAGACTGTACACGCATTAAAAACAAAATGGCAGCAAATACATAACACGTGGGCTGTGCCCAAACGTCTAGTTGATAAAAAAATTGTGGACTAAAAATTTCCCACAATGCACCTTGAAAAGTAGTGTTGGTAGATCAGCTTATATATCCCATAATGCTTTGCAAGAGCGCTCATCACAAAGGATTATGGGCGGAGAGAAATAAAAAATATGGCGCATTCACCGTGCATGGAGCAGGATTCACGTGACCATCAGGGAGCAAAAAGTAGTGATATCTGTCCGAACGGTCAGCTAACTGAGTTCACTATAAAGTTCACTATATAGTCGGCGCTTTATATAGCGATTAAGGGATTTAGGGGTTAGGGCGGACATTCGGACACAGGCCTGCTTGAAATTTCTTTTTGGATCTTCTTCCTCTTTCTCTCATTTAATTGCTGTGCGTTAAGAACGTTGCAGTGCTTTACTGCCACCAACTGGTAAGGAGTGTGACAGCGTCATCATAGATCCATACTTGTAAATTGATGATTTACATTATATGGTTAGAAAGTTGAAACTTTGTACTGTTAGCTTCAAACATTCTCAGTGATAAAACATCTGATGTCACATGTATGTGATGAAAACCAGAAAAATAAACTTTAATAAAATGTAGACATTGTTAGGTTTATTCAATGATAATTATAAAATTAATGTCTGTGTGTGCTTATGAAACATTTGAGCAAGTAGATGCTTCACTCTGTCTTGTGATTCAGTCAGGAGACCACCCTGCCTTGTGATTCTGGTGGAGCATCCTGTTTTATGAACTTATCAATTGTACCGTCAGAACAATACTGTTTTGTAACCATGTGTTATATTCTGTTAATAAAAGACGGCTGCAGGAGGGGAGTCGGGGGGGGAAAAAGCTGGAAGTTGGGTTGGGCTTTTTTTCCACTCCTGCAGAAGTTGCTTGAATCTCTTTCCTGTGTAGACTCAATTTCTCTTTTACAAACCTACATTTTTGAACCTAACATACACCTATGTATATCTTTTTATTGACTGTTATCTTTCCCATAGTAGGTCATGTGGGAATAAAAGCTCAATTTTCCTTTAAGCGACACACTTTGATGGTAAATAAATAAATGTGTTGAGGCTGTTAACGAGGTACTTTTCTAGTGAGAGTAGGACGCTGAGTGACCCTGGCCAGACAGGGGGTGAGGAGGGGGGAGATGGAGCTATGGTGATGAGGAGGAAGTTCTCTGTCTGGATACTAAGATGTGAAAACTGCATCCACCCCTTTTTAGAATTAAAAATCCTAAGAAGGGGTTAAAGTATTATCAGCAGGGATTTGTTATATGTGGAGCTTTCCGAGAAAGAAATGCCAGACATATGCATATTCTTCAGGCTACCTTTTCTTCTTCTCTTAGCTGCTCTTTTAAGGGTCCCCACAGCAGATCACCCTAATCCCTGCTATCCTTTGTCACACACAGCACTAATCCTGCACTACATCAATGAACCTTCTGTCCACTGTATCTGTGTCCTCTGCTTGTGGTTTTGAAAAAAAAAAAAAGTCCAGGTTTGCAAAACTCTAAAAGCTGTATGGACCCAGTGTGGTGCAGCAGGGGGGGACATTCTTCCTTCCTTGGTGTGCACTGCTGATCAGCTGGCTGAAAGAACGACAGTTCATGTTCCCATCACTGATAAAAGGGTTAAATTGACAGGAATTATTTTAGATTATGAACTCTATTTGTGTCTTTATTAGAAACCATTCTAGATTAGATGGTCTATAATTACAAAGCTCAGTTACACTCACCGGCCACTTTATTAGGTACCCCATGCTAGTAACGGGTTGGACCCCCTTTTGCCTTCAGAACTGCCTCAATTCTTGGTGGCATAGATTCAACAAGGTGCTGAAAGCATTCCTCAGGGAGTTTGGTCCATATTGACATGATGGCATCACACAGTTGCCACAGATTTGTCGGCTGCACATCCATGATGCGAATCTCCCGTTCCACCACATCCCAAAGATGCTCTATTGGATTGAGATCTGGTGACTGTGGAGGCCATTTGAGGACAGTGAACTCATTATCATGTTCAAGAAACCAGTCTGAGATGATTCCAGCTTTATGACATGGCGCATTATCCTGCTGAAAGTAGCCATCAGAAGTTGGGTACATTGTGGTCATAAAGGGATGGACATGGTCAGCAACAATACTCAGGTAGGCTGTGGCGTTGCAACGATGCTGAGTTGGTACCAAGGGGCCTAAAGAGTGCCAAGAAAATATTCCCCACACCAGCCACCACCACCACCAGCCTGAACCGTTGATACAAGGCAGGATGGATCCATGCTTTCATGTTGTAGACGCCAAATTCTGACCCTACCATCCGAATGTTGCAGCAGAAATCGAGACTCATCAGACCAGGCAACGTTTTTCCAATCTTCTATTGTCCAATTTTGATGAGCTTGTGCAAATTGTAGCCTCAGTTTCCTGTTCTTAGCTGAAAGGAGGGGCACCCGGTGTGGTCTTCTGCTGCTGTAGCCCATCTGCCTCAAAGTTCGACGTACTGTGCGTTCAGAGATGCTCTTATGCCCACCTTGGTTGTAACAGGTGGTTATTTGAGTCACTGTTGCCCTTCTATCAGCTCGAACCAGTCTGGCCATTCTCCTCTGACCTCTGGCATCAACAAGGCATTTCCGCCCACAGAACTGCCGCTCACTGGATGTTTTTTCTTTTTCCGACCATTCTCTGTAAACCCTAGAGATGGTTGTGCGTGAAAATCCCAGTTGATCAGCAGTTTCTGAAATACTCAGACCAGCCCTTCTGGCACCAACAATCATGCCACGTTCAAAGTCACTCAAATCACCTTTCTTCCCCATACTGATGCTCGGTTTGAACTGCAGGAGATTGTCTTTACCATGTCTACATGCCTAAATGCACTGAGTTGCCGCCATGTGATTGGCTGCTTAGAAATTAAGTATT